TTACCTTTGCAGAATATACATCAACTCCGGTACAGAGGTCCATTTCAACGCTACCTTTCAGCGTCTCCGGTAAGAGCGGCTGGCCATATCAGGAGTCGCGCCTCCTATTCCGTTCAACAAACACTCTCATCTCCCAGGTGGATACACAGCAAGCTGTGAGTTCAGTCGGAGATTCCACTCAGACGTGGAGGACTCCATGAAAGACCCAGGAAGACTCCAGTCCAGGACTCCAGAAGACTGAAGACCGACTCAAAACTCACTCAAGACTGAGAGACCCAGTTGACCTCAGAAGTTCCAGGAAGTGTGGACTCTTAAAGAGTTCTCACTTCTGGTCACCTCAGGACTTCCTGATTGGTTGAAGCAACCAACAGGGGGTGGTTCTAGATATGTCATAGGGTCATTACAAGTCTAGAAAACAGCAGGAATGTTTTAGAAACATCCCGTACAGACAGAAGACATGTTAGGGCGAAGTGGGAGGAAGAGAGGCCAGTAGCTTCTTGTTTACCGTCTGCTAGGTTTAAAAACAATCCACTTCGTTCTAACAACTTCTTTCTGACTTTCGACTGACATCACTACTTCTCATTTAGACAGAAGATCAAAAATGCATAATTACTTTGTAAAATAGACATTTAACTTGATTTCTAATTTAAATGAGGATTAAAAAATCATTAATACTGTTTCACAGTTGATTTAAAATGAGTGGTTCATTTCAACATTTAGAAATGGTATGAACTAAACACACTTTTGATTATCAAGATATTGTAAAATAGTAATGATGATATAAAAGAAGAGTGTTCTTTCAATTGATTACTTCAGGATACAATTAGAAAGTCTCTGATGAGCTAATTTGTATTTCTGGATTCAAATCAATGAAATAACAGTTCCTGTCCCATGAAGGTCCTCAGAGGCAGGTTTTGGTCGGAGGCCGAGTTCACTACAAGGTCATCAGGGTCTGCAGATTATCTAGAGTCCAGACATTTAACAATTTGTTAACCTCACAAACTGAAAACATTGAAATTGAAAAGGTGTGGTTTACTGAAGATTGATTTGTAGGAGATATTTGTTTTGTAGATGTTTGGCTTAAAGGAGAAGTGGCTGGTTTTCCAGTGGTAACTGTGACAAACAAAATATCTCTTGATACATTTCAGGATCTCACGACACAGGATCAGAGTTGACCAGAAGTTGTGATGGGAGGTCAGATAATTGGGAGCTGCCGGAGAGAGATTTGATGGTTTTCCAGAATCTTTTTGGGTCATTTAGGTCTTTGGACTTCTGAGATGAGAAGTAATTACATTTTACAGCTTTGATGGAAGTTGTACAGTGGGTATGTTTACATGGACATAAGTAACCGGATCAAATGGCCGGTCTGAATAAAAGTGTGTCATGTAAACACTCCGTTCGGGTTATTTTTTGTGTATTCGGCGCGATCCGATATAATTTGTGATCAGTACAAAACGGGTGGTTTACGCCGATCCGAAACCCGATCGGTGCGCATGTAAACACTTGATCTGTTCGTTTTTATCTGATCGTGAAAAACTGACCTGACTGCGCATGTGCGACTTTGCCATTTCCGCCTGTATGTCCAATATTAGCATGTCAGGGAAGTAAAACTGGTCGGTGAGCGACAACATTTCTACTAGAAACTCTGAAAGAGCTCAAAATGATCTGTATCACCTGTAGCTCAGTCAGGGAGTGCAGTAACGTCTCCACCATCATTAAAACCTGTCACGGGTCCGTTTTGGTGCTCAGGTTTGTTTACGTTCATCCCGGAAGTAGAACTTCTTCTTCGGTGGTTTTTTTAAGGAGAGTTTACCGCTCTGCGCTTGTCAGCACTGCTGTTCAGAACAAAGCTGCATGTAAACGCTCATCATGAACAGATTGTGCCCATGTAAACAACACATTTGAATTATTCAAACAGAACACATTTCAATCCGGTCAAAGAATTCTGCGCATGTAAACATAGCTAATGATTACGCAGCTGTCAAAAATGCAACCATTCAGTGTTTGAGTCAGATTGTCCTGCTGTAGCCCAAAGCTGATCTGTCCTGTGTAGGAGGTTAACTAGCTCACGAGTAAACTAGGGGCTGTCTGGTCCTTTTTTTTCTGAACTTGCGAAAAGCAGCATGTTTACTTAGAGTAGATGAAACTATTGTGAAAATGGTTCCACGCAAGGTTCACGTCATCAGTTAGGAGAATATGTTGCCAATCAAAATGGAACAGGTCCCCAAAGAAGGCCTGTTCACTGAAATGCGTCATGTCCCTTTTTAGAATTAATCTAGTTTTGGTGCGAGCAAGTTTAGTGTCCCCGATGACACCGACAACGCAGTGGTCACTCATATCAACATCAAAAACACCCAACCCAGAAAATTTATGAGGCATATTTGTTATAAAGAGATCTAAAATAGACTTCAGGGCATTTTTTGTTTGGGTGAGTGGGGGTGTCAATGATTTGAGTGAGGTTGAGTGACAAACTTTTTTTAATTCTTCAGATACTGGAGACTTCCAGTCCAGGTTAAAGTCACCAACAAGGACAACTTCATTGAAATGTAAATTTGTTAGGAAGTCCACTAAAAACAACATGTCCTCAGGAGTTGCTGTGGGAAGGAGGGGGCGGTAACAGATCACAACAGTTGCCACTGTGCTTGCTCAGGATGGGAGACTGCAACGAAGCCAAGATTCAACTTGTCTGCTGGATTACTTAGATAGAGAATTTCACTAACTGGCTTTTATGTGAATGTTCCTGTAAATTGTCCTGAGACAACTTTGTTGTGATTTGGAGCTTTATAAATAAACTGAATTGAATTGAACAGTTAAAGTATGGCCTCTGTGCAAATTATAGTTTATTGCCAGGATTTCAAACTGTTTAGATTGTTTTAGCAGACATCAGGTGAGAATCCAGACTTGATTTTATATAAATTGAAACACCACCTCCCTTTCTTTGACTGACAGAACGGTAGATATTAAATCCGTCAATTGACACATCTTTATCCAAAGTTGATTTGGATAACTAAGTTTCAGAGATGACAATTACATCAGCACCAGTTGAACAGATGCAAATCCTCAAAATATCAATTTTACGAAGGAGGCCGTATGCATTAATGTGCTAGAAGTGTAGTCCAGACATGTTTTTAAACTCTTTTGGTGTGCTATAATGTGTGGTAGGTCCGGGGTTAGGTTGTATCCCGGACAACTGTAACGACATAACGATTAAACATTTCTTTGTTTTATTGTAGCAGACGAGTTGATATTATAGCACTTGGCCCCCATAATCAATCCATGGTGAGAAGAATTTATAAAGACGTGGTTACATTCAGGATTAGATTTAGCTTTGTCATTGCACAGTTAAGTACAATGACATTACATTTCATAAAAGCCATCCAAAAGATGGACGAAAATGTACAGAATATAAGCGCAGCACTTCTTAGAAGCTGCAGCCCCTGTACACTTCCGTCATCTTTTGGATGGCTGTACAGAACGTAGTTTTGCTGTACTTGACTGTGCAATGACAATAAAGCTGATTCTGATTCTAATACTGATTCTGATGACTTAGAATCCAAAAGCAATGAAGTTGGCAGGGATGAGCAAATCCAGATGCATTAACAAGATTCAGCGGTTCTAAATAGACAATGTTCTGAAAATTATGAGGATGGGGATGGGTAAACTTCAGGACTACAGAGTTCTGGACCCCCACACATGAATAGAGCCAAGGGGTTTCAAACCAAACACCCTCCAGATTGGAGTGGCCCAACGGGCCCGGCATGACGGACCAATTGCAGTTTGAGTGGGGCTGAAGCAGGCTGCAGCACCACGGAGCTGACAAAACACTATAGTTCTCATGTTGATCCGAAGCTGGGTGCAGAACCAGCAGGCAGGGCAGAAAGGCAATCCACGTCAAAGCACAGAGCAAGCTGCCAGGGTGTCTGCTCGCTCTGAAAGCAATGATTCTGGCTCTGTTTGCGTCAATAGTTTTGTTGCAGGTGATTACAAAATCAGCTAGGGTAAAGCCCTCCACGGGTTCAGGATCTGCCCGAACCGAGCTCAATGAAGAAAACGGACAAGATGAACAGCGTGAGCTGGAACAGATCTTTCAGCTGACCAGCTCAGAACCAGTGGTCCCGTATGGATCCATTTAATCCAGATGAGTTCAGATGGAAGATCAGAAGATATCGGATGAAGACACCTGTCCTTCGAGCAGTGCCTCCACATTGCTTCTTGGCACGAGAGGCTTCTTCCAGGAGAGCAGAGATCAAACTAACTAACTTTTTCGCTTAGGTTGGAACCGTCCTTGGTTCAGTTCTGGTCCGACTATGGTCAACTCCCCTGCAGCCGACAGCAAGGTGCCCACGGAGAGGGCTGGTCCTACATAAAGCCACACGAAACCACACAGCAGTCCTGATCGAAGTGATCCAAAGAGATCCAGATCAAAAGTTTAGTTGGAATCCAGAAAACACCGGACCTTCGAACAACGTCTCCCCATTCGAGAGGCAACTGGGCCGGCAAGCAGCGCTCGGAATGACCAATGGGCTGGAAGTGGTCCTGGTCCTAGTCCCAACGTTCTCGGACAGTTCCGTATGGCTCTGTCCACTAAGCACCGAAACTGCTTTGAAGAGGAACCAAACTTTATAGTCTGTTCGAATTGGGTTAGTTTGATGTTATGGGACTGTAGAGAAGCCGGGGAGCTGCCGTCCTGCTGCTGCTTGGACCAGGAAGTGTGCTTCTTTTTTCATTATTTCATGTGTGATTTCTTCTTTCTGTAGAATTAGAAAATGCTACTGTATGCCTCAAATTTCCTCCCGGGGACTGATAATCTGTCATATTTTATATATCTAATCTGTCTGTCTGTCTATCATCTATCTATCTATCTATCTATCTATCTATCTATCTATCATCTATTTATCTAATCTACCTTATCTAATCCATTTTATCTAATTCTATCTCTTATCTAATTCTGTCTTATCCTATCTTATCTAATCTATCTATCACTTCCTGTGTGCTCACAGGTTTCAGCAAGCTCCGGTGGCCCTGGGCACCGAGGGCATTCCTCAGCCCCCTCACCTGATTAGACAGGTACGTAGCTGCTCAGCAGTGACTCAGCAAAAATTCACTTGGGTCATCTCGTGGACTCTGAATGTCTCTCATTAACAGGATGGGAAGTTGAACCCTCAGCTGGTCCGACGGAACCCCCCCAGCTTCGGTTCGGGATTTGTCAGTAAGTATCAGAACTCAATCGATAATCAGAATCAATATTTTATTACAGTCCGTTCGTTCCAGGCTCAGTCAGGGAGAACAGTGCCTCAAAATGGCCACAAAGACCAATCTGTCCATGCTGTCTCTGACCATTCATAAGTCGCAGCTAGAGCCAGGTCTGGACCAGGGATTGGTTAGGTCAGGGGTCAGTCTGGGCCAGAGAGCAGTCTGGGCCAGGGGTCGGTCTAGATCCGGGATTAGTCTAGGCCAGGGGTCAGTCTGGGCCAGGGATTAGTCTGGACCCACATGTAGCTCTGGACCAGGGATTAGTCTGGACCCAGATTTAGCTAGCTCTGGACCAGGGGTCAGTCTGGACCAGGGTTAGTCTGGACCCAGATGTAGCTCTGGACCAGGGGTCAGTCTGGATCCAGATGTAGCTCTGGACCAGGGGTCAGTCTGGAGGGTCAGTCTGGACCAGGGGTCAGTCTGGACCAGGCATTAGTTTGGACGAGGCATTAGTCTGGACCAGTGGTCGGTCTGGACTAGGGGTCAGTCTGGACCAGGGATTAGTCTAGATCCATATGTAGCTCTTTACCAGGGATTAGTCTGGACCAGGGGTCAGTCTGGACCAGGGGTCAGTCTTACCTACAGGTTCTACTTGCCGTCTCTTAGAAGGTGCCCTGATCCGGCCTGTTCTTTTAGATGAGTCCCAGCGGCGTCAATATGAGGAGTGGCTCGGGGAGACGCAGCAGCTTCTGCAGATGCAGCAGCGCCTCCTGGAGGACCAGATTGCCGCTCACAGGAAGGCCAAGAAGGCGCTGTCGGCCAAGCAGAGGACGGCCAAGAGAGCGGGTCGGACCTTGGCTGAGGAGGACGCCACCCAGCTCCGCTACATCAGCGAGCAGCAGGGGTCGGTCCAGAAACAGCTGGAGCAGGTAAGCAGGCTCCCCTGTAGTCCTCCCAGTCCGGTTAGGTGGGCCAGGTTCTGAATCGCTTTGTTTGTTCAGATCCGGAAGCAGCAGAAGGACCACACTGAGCTGATTGAAGACTACAAGAACAAAAATAAGCAGAGGCTCTTACAGATTCCCCCCCAGAATGCCCTTACCCAGCCCACGGTGCCCCTGCAGCCCAACCCAAATGGACCCACACCAGTCCGTGCCCCAAGTGTCCCTGTTGGCTGGTCCCCAAGCCCCGGTGCTCCAGGTCCCATGGGACAAAGAATACCAGCACACCTGCCTCCTCAGATACCCCCCACCCTGCCCAACAACTCCCAAGGATCTCAGCACACCCAGAACCCTCAGTCCATGATTCCAGGACTCACGGCCTCAACACCCGGCTTCACTACAGGTCCCCGGGGTCCTTCAGGGGGGCCCAATGGAGCCAAAGGGGATGGAGCCGCACTAACACCTCAGGTAATAGGACTACGGAAGATTTTCTTTCTAAAATGCACATTAAATGTTTAGGGCTTTTGGTAATGTCTGTGTGTCCTCTGCAGGTGAACTTTGACGATAACAACCCGTTCAGTGAAGGGTTCCAGGAGCGAGAGAGGAGGGAGCGTCTGAGAGAGCAGCAGGAGCGTCAGAGAGTCCAGCTTATGCAGGAGGTAACGCCCCATCTTCAACAGAGAGACAAAAAACATCCTGGCTCAGATCCACAGCTCTTGGCATCTACTGTTCTGGTCAACAGAATGTTTGGTGTCCCTAAGGGAGCTTTGTTAAGCCCCTTATCTGGTCTGGTTTGTACTCGGCTCGCATCATCTCAACATCAGCCAAATGTGCTTTGTTCTCGCTTGGTTTTGGAACCACCTCAGATGTGGTTCCAAGCGAGCCGAGCAAACGATTTTGACATCAGCAAACTGCGGCCATTGGTTGGCCTGTGGATTGATGTCACTGTGAGCCAAAGCCGTCCTTGTAAACTCCTCCTGAAGCGCCATTTTTAGTCTGAGATGAAGAGCTGCAGGTTATTCCGTGGTTGAACGATGAGATGCAAAATCTTTTTATCAATATTATCAGACGAGCACACACAGCATGAACTTGACAGCGCAGCTAGGAATGAACGAGTTTACTGGTAGTTGTCGGAGAAACTGGCAGCCCACGGCTACATTTGCACTTACAAACAGTGCCGTGACAAATCAAAATTTAAAAAACGAAGTCCGACTACCAGACGATAAAGAATCACAACATCAAAGCGGGTTGAACCGGAGGGAATGAAGGTTGTTTGCCGCCAGCTGATGATCCTGCCCAATGAATGAGGGACACTTAATTGAGACACACCTACACTTGAGTAGAACTGAATAGAACCAAAGTGATTAGAGCAGTACCTAACAATGGAGAATCATCTTTAGGCCCACACTTTTTCCCCTGTTCGTTGTTTCTTGTCTTTTGCTGGAATCGGTTTCTGAGCATCACTTCCTGTTTTGTTGTTGATGTGTTTTCAGGTGGAACGTCACCGTGTCCTGCAGCAGAGACTAGAACTGGAGCAACAGAACCTCAGGCCCGGGTCTGGAGCTGGTGATATGTCTGGGTCCAGAGTCCAACAAATACCAGATCCAGGAGCACAAGGTCCTGGAGGTCTAGTTAGAGCAAGTCTCAGAATGGATGGCCTGTCTCGGATGCCATTCTCCAGTTCTGACTCTGCAATGAACTTCCTGCATTCCTCTACAGCCTCCAGACCTTCACTTCACGTCCAGGTCCAGGCACCAGCAGGGGGACCATTCCCCTCACAGGCCAGTCTCCATCAGGGCGTCACAGGAGGGCCCCTGCACCCACCTCCAGGACTGCTTCCAAAGGATGGTTCTGTTTCTCCCCTCCAGACCAAACCAAGGCTGCCAGCTCAGGTGCATCCAGGAGCAGCAGGGATGACCCCCTCCCACCCTGCAGGTCAAGGTCCTCAGCTTGGACACAACTCCAGCTCCTCCTCACCCTCCACCCCCCTGCCCACCTCGTTCCCCTGCTCCTCTGGAGGCTCTGCCTCCACAATGCACCCCTATGCTGACATGACTGCGGATGACATACCAAAGAAGAAGAGCAGGAGAGGGGATGGAGATGATGCAGGGGCAGAAGGGGCCCAAAGACCGCTGTCACCGCACTCTGACATCACAGCCCCACCCACTCCGGCTGTCTCTGACACCTCCTGCTCCACACCCACCCACCAATCAGACAGCTCTTTCTCTGGTTTGGCTCCATCAGCTGAGCTGGAGAGGCAGCTGTCAGCAAGAGGCTCCGTCCTGGTCTCTGAGGGCCAGAGAGGGCCCCTGTCTACTGTTCAGTTGGAGATCAAGGTTGGTAGATCCATCACGGCATCAGTCTGTGTTCTGTAGATCCATCATGGTGTCAGTCTGTAGTTTGGAGGTCCCACCAGGTGTTTGAACAGCCTTCATAATGTTTTATTTTTTCTTCTGTTATGAATCTCTGGTACTTCTGGCAGGAGGAGCGCATGGAGGCGAGGCCTTGTGGAGGAGGTGTGATGAAGATGGAGGAGGCTCAGGGTTACAGGTTATCCTCCCCCTCATCCCCTCTTCAGGGGGGAGAGGGGGGTAAGGAGCTGCTCAGACACCTGCTGAAGGAGAAGACTTCACCTGCAAACATGCCATCACCCACCAGACAGACCCCACCCACTGCCTACCACCAGTTGTCCATCGACAGCGTGCGGTCTGAGAAGGAGGAGGGAACTGGTTGTCATGGCAACACGGTGAGTACACAGCAGAGTTGTAATCTGTTAGGGATGTGAGCAGCTTCTGATGTTGTCTCCTCCATTCTCCAGGTGACCATGAGTGACAGTCCTGGTCCTGACCGGAAGAAGATTCAGCGCTCCAAGAGATCGAACCGGAATGACAAAGACAAAGCTCTTCCCAAATACAAGAGGAGGAAGAAGGAGGAGGAAGAGGATGAGAAGAGCCTCCACTCCTCCATTGACCCCCTGATGACTCACTTGAGACAGGTAAAGTCACACCTCCTATTGTAGGAGCTACCTAAACTGATCTCTGCGAGGACACAGACAGCCGTTTAAATGTTCAGGAGTCTGTGTGGATTTGAGGAGGGTGTTGATAATCTGTGCCTCCCCCTCAGCTCTCAGTGCTGCCTCTCATGGAACCGGTCCTGGGGGTGGATCTGAGCCTGTTCACCCCCTACGGCAGCTCCTCGCTGGGGAAAGACTCCCGCCTCACTGGCTCCTTCGGTAACGCCTCACTGGACAAGGTCTCTGACTACTACTCCCAGCTCATATACAAGGTA